CCCTTGGAGATTAATATACAATAAACACCACACAAGAAGAATATAAGAAACAGAGTGTAAGGAGAAAAAGAACAAATAAAGTAAAAAGAGAATGGTAAGATAACGAAATCGAGGAGAACCAGTTTCCATTTACGAGAGAGAGAGAGAGAGAGAGAGAGAGAGAGAGAGAGAGAGAGAGAGAGAGAGAGCCTTCATGCTTGGTTCATTAGTACTTTTTTTTACCTCAGGGAAAAAAGATGAGTTTCGAAACATTTAATTGCGCGTGAATTAATTATTAGTATTACATTTTGTACTTCAGGAAGTTCTTAGTCAAAGTTAAATAAGAAAGACTTTCTCATATCCGGGGACGTCTGCTTTTAGTTAACAAGCCGCCATGACAGGTAGGGCGAACTTATTACATTCTGTTTACTGAGTTGGGAGGCCGAAATCTTTTGTTGTTTGACGATACAATAACTTAAAGAGGAAGGAGAAACCCGTTGAGTTTTCTAATACCAACAAGTAGGAAGATATCACTTATCTTTACTAATATCTGTTGAGTTAATAACGAGACAGGACACTATGGTAGCCTTCTGAGAAATACACTTTAGATTTGCAGCTCTTATTTAGTGATGAATTTTTAGGGTTTTTTTCTCTTGTCTTTCCAATTTAGAAGTTTATATTTCTATTGTTTTTGGCAAAGGTGAAAAAGTTTGTCTCCAGGGGCGGATCCAGGAATATCAAAAGGGGGGGTCGAAGTTGTGGGTGGGGGCATGGCGAGCCCCCAATATCATGGACATTTTGAAGCCATGCGCACTTGATTTTAGGAGAGATTCTAAAGTCAATGGTAAATACTTTTAACTATACAAAATGCCTGAGTACAATACTGCATTAAAGATAAGTATTAGAATTTTCTGGTGAATAAAGGATCCGGCCCCAGTAACCCCCCCCTCCTCCTCCCCCCCTGGATCCACCCTTTCACCCTTGGTCTCATAACTTAATCATTTTCTACTCATTTACGAAGCCTGTGGTAGGAAGGTAGTATGCACTCAGTCACCTCGCCTTCATGGTGTGATCGCCTTGCCAATGAGTTCAGCCACCTAATACATCTTGGCTACTGTGATGCTTTTTTGCGACTATTACATCAGGGTATAATAGTGATCAGGTAAAATACGATATCGAGGACACTTCCGACAGGTATGAAACTTGTATGAGCTAAGTACTGGCCTCGTATTGTAATTTTGTTTTGTCATTATTATCATTATTGTAATCTCAAAAATTCAAATTATCTTTCTATTGATCCTATGTGTTAATTTTTTCAACCAGACTTAAATTGGCAGCGTCAGTCACACAAGCACCAGAATTTTCGTTGGAAATGCTACATTGTATAGGGTGAGAGGACCGAGGCGAAGCTCTTGAATCTACTGGCAAGTCATAAGTTTGTATCCGATCTTGAACTTGTTTTTAAGATATATTGACAGGAGTGAGAGGTGACTACAGTCTTTGAAAAATCGAAATTAAGGCTTTTCGTAAAGAGAGAGAGAGAGAGAGAGAGAGAGAGAGAGAGAGATGGCATCAGATCCACGGTTAGGCCAGGATTATCAAATAATCCACGAACGTAATTTTTTCGTTTCAATCAACCTCACATTGTACACCGAATGGCGTCGCAACTCCACGGAAACTCTACTGCAATGATATACGTTCTTCTTACTGCTAACATGAAAAGAAAATTATATACACGAGTCTCCTAAAATTTGAGCTTATATTATATACCAGAGACCCACACAAAACTCTCAGGGCAATCTTTGGTTTACACACTATTCAAACACGTTCCCCACCATAAATGTGCTGGCCTATTTTCACCAATAACGTCACTGTTCCAATTTGTGTGAATCAAGGGCAAATGGAGGTGTAGTCCCTAGTCCTTTCACTGTCCAGCCTTGAGTATTCGTGTCAGCCTCCAGCGTGCTGGTTTTTGCCTGGCCTCACCCTGGCGGACTCTGGGGCGTGTGAGGTGCTTAACATCAGGCTAACGGGGGTGAGGTACACACTGGGTCAACCTGCTTAAGTCGCCTTTATTAATAGCGTCGATTTCGTGGCCTCAGTTTGTGCAAAAACTTAGGGTATAATGATAGTGCTATGATAAACTTAGGGTTTGTGTCTTGATTAACACAGCTACACTACAACCACAACACACCTATATAACAACCACAACACAGCTACATTACAACCACAACACAGTTACACTACAAACACAATACCAATACGTTCACGGTGAATACTTAACACGAACTCATAACCACAAAATATAGGATGTTAAGGAGTGTTAGATAGTCAGGTGGGAGTAACAGAGGGCAGCGGGTCACTCCCTGGGGCCAGGTATACAGGCTCCAGTATCACCAACTTAGAGGTGAAGGTCGCCACGTCTTGCGATAACCTTATTTGTTTTTTCCCTCAGTTGTGATCAGCGTGGACGATGTGGAGCAGTGTGGGTGGCGATGAAGAGTGTGGGTGGTGTGGGGCAATGTGGGCGGTGGTGAAGACTATGGGTGGTGTGGGGCAATGTGGGCAGTGGTGAAGAGTGTGGATGATGTGAGACAGTGTGAGCGTTGTGATTCAGTGTGGATGGTGTGAGGCAGTGTGGGCAATGGTGAACAGTGAGGGTAACAGTAGTGGTTGAATACTGTATTGTGGACGGAAATAGACACTGTTTTGGAAAGGACACGGTCACCTCTTGCCCAATTTATAATATAAGCTGCAGGCATACTAATCTCTCAGGGTAACTGATGTGCCATAGTGCAGGCGCCAGTCTGGTTGCCCTCCTTTGGGCATTTTCAATGAACTGACAGTTTCTAGCATATCTCGGGACCAGACTGGTGATAGTATACTCCAAATAGTGAAACACCTCACTTGTGAAGAGCGTTACGCGGGACAGACCATCAACTTCCACACCCAGGTCCTTTCCACATTCGGTCTCCATTAATGATGTTTCTCCATTCCGTTGGGATATACGATATGCCTCCTTGCTATTGGTACGACCTAGATACATCCTCTTACACTTCTTAACATTGAATCTTAACAGCCATTCCTGTGTAGATCTTCACAGTCCATTTGGTTTCTAATTTCCCTGAATAATTTGGCATAATCCTCAAACATTTGTTTGGGGGAGTGTATAACTACTGGCATGTCATTTATGAAACAAACAACAACTGGTCCAGTACACTGCCCTATGGTACCCACTTGTCATGGATATGCATGACGATCATGAAGAAAGTCTCCGATCCACGCTAGCATGCTCCACTATATTCCATATCCTTCCAGTTTAATTCTTAGCTTTTCATGGGGTACGCTGTCGAAAGCCTTGGCAAAATCCAGATACAGTATATTGCAAATATTGTCATCATGTTCCAGGATCTGAGTCCAAGCATCCAGCACTTTAAGTACTGTGATTGCATCTAGCAAGAGGGTTCCTGTATAAAACCATGTTGGCACTCCTTTACAAGGTTTTTTCGTAATAGATGCTGCATCATAGCCTCTCTTATAATGCTCTCTAGTGCTTTACACACCATGCTGGTCAAGCTCACTGGTCTATAATTGTTTGTGGAGTGACACTCTTACTGCTTATATATAGGACTCACATAAACCATTTTCCAGTTGCTGGAGACTGTTTTTTTTTTCATGTAAGCATCTGAAGAATAGGACCTTAAGGGGCTCAGCATGCTCGTTGCATAACTCTCTTAGCACTCTAGGATGCACACTATCAGGGCTAGCATTCTTATGAACCTTTAGCTTTCACAGTTTCTTGTGCACTCTTCTGAAAAGATAATTTGTGTCAGAGCTGTGTCAAGCCCTGTTCCCTCAAATTCAGGGAGATTGTGAGCACTGAGGAAAATAAATTGTTTAATGCTTCCACCTTGTCCTAATCCAAGTCTGAGAAACTACCATTTTCAACCCTCAGATCTAATACGCCCACACGTGTCTTTAATTTTGAATGATGGTAGAAAGCCTTTGGGTTTGACTTGACCTCACTTGCAATTCACCCTTGGAACTCTTCTGCGTTCTGACTTTGCTCTGTTCTTGGGCTTGGCTTACATCCTTCTGTCCTGCTTTTCATTTGTTGTAACCCACCTCTTGAATTTCTGATACTTTTCTTAACTTTGTCAACTGCTGCAGGTTCATGTGTAATGATCTCCTTTCATTACTGGAGCCAGTGGGTTTAGTCCTAGGTATACTGTACACAATTATATTTATCAAATAAATAGTTCACTTTACCGGCTATGATTATTCAGAGGAGTGTGTATGTTTTTGTTTCTCACCGAGTCAGGCCAGTGAATACCTCTCATCTCCTCCCTCATCCTGTCATAATCTCCATTGTAATACTGTGTTTGAACCATGGCCTGCTCTTATCATGAACCAAGTAACAGTTAAATCTGTAGGATAATGATGTCACATCATGGTTGGCGTCAACAGGGGGGGCCACCATACCCTCCTCGTTAGTTATGATAAGGTCCAGCGGTTTGCATGTTTGTTCCCCTCTGTAATAAGTCAGATCTTTAACTAGTTGGAGTAGGAAATTGACTTTATGAGTTTCTACAAAAAGAGTACTGTAGTGGGATTATTAAGGTCACTTGGTGTAGTTTCATTCTTCTAATCGATGTCGCTATAGGTAAAGTCCTCCATGACAAGGAGGTGGGTAGGGTTGAGCACCACACATTTAAATGGAATATTGGTTGTATTTGTGAGCATCTTAGCCATCTCGTGCACGCAATAAATTTTAGGTTTCCGTGACCACAACAAAAGTTATATTGGACCAATCACGCCATGATGCACAAGAGGGTTAAAATAATTTTTTTCAAATTCATTACCCCACATTTAAAGTGCATTGATGATATCGATGTTAAAAGATCATTGCATATTTCAGAGTAAAATCACAGACAAAAATATCAATTCTTTAATATGAGAAAACCACAGATCAAAATGCATGTACTGTACAGTGTTTACATAATGGGTTTAAGAAAAACATATGATTGTGGGTAGTTTATTTCTCTAAACTAAATTCACATCCTATACAAAAGACTTTAGATGGTGAAAATGCATTTACAAACATGAAGGTATAACTCCTGTTGTGAAGTGAATCACTCAATCACCTTGATAATAATCCTTTATCTTGCTTAACATGTGACTTTTAAAAACAAAATTGAGTTGTTTCGGGAAATTTTCTTTCAATATAAGAGTAAGTATTACTGTAATGGTTATGTGTCAACCAACAACTGTGAAGCCATTAAAACCATGGATGAATGAGTGATTCAAAGTAAATTTATTTATATGTACACTATGTCTAGTATTCAGTGTCTAATTATCACAGTTTCTTCATTTTAGGGAAGCACACATCACCAAACATTAAATGGAGATTCATATTCAATGTGTGAACTCTGTAAATAAATTTATTTACATTTTATTTTAAATGACAACAAAATGTCATGTTAAAGGAACTGAAACTGAAATTTAGAAATTAATTTATCAACTAACCAGAGTGACCTAACAGCTTCCTGTACTTGTGCATAATGAGATATTTCAAATACAGTACAGTTTCTGAATGACATTACAGGGGACATGTTTATCACGCTCTGCCCCTCACAGCTTGAGAATTATAAAATTAACCCTACTACACTGTGTTTACTGATTAAATGTTACTACATATTAATATTCTGAGCAAGTGTCAGTAAAAGAAATAATAGGAAATCCAGAATGAACTTTAGTCATTCTGCTCACACTATCATAATACCCGACAGTTTGGAATACAGTATGACTGTAAATTTGTTGATTTGTCAGTGACAGTAATAGTACATTGCAAAGATAATAGTTATCAAACTGGAACTCATTATAAAATTAGTGAAGGCAATAAATGCATATATGATCTACCTGTGTTTGTTTCTGTCCCTTGAGTACTGTACAGTACTGTGACCACTACATATAATGCTAAGTAATTGCCCCTTCGTGCTCTGTGAAAGCCATCTACTCACTTCTTGCTTTAATATGTTTACTGTAATGTATGGTCTGGTATAAGGTGATGCTTGTTTGTATGACCAGAATTAAATATTTTGTAATTGTTGCTTTACAAAAATATAAAACACATTGCTATGCATTTATGAGGATATGTATACAGTACAGTACAGTATTTTGAATAGTGAAATTGATGATCCAAAGTAAAGAGAAAACAGCAACTTGATAAACTAATTTCTTAATACATTCACAAAAAGGAATGAATATAAATAAAGAGAGAAAAAGAGTAAACAGCTTGTATTTGCTCTCAATAATAGATGCCTTGAATTATTGTAGGAAAGACTCTTTAAGTGGTATAAAAAACAATCATACTAATTATGGTAGGTTGCCAAATGAGGTTAAGATTAATATTCAGGATAACATTGAAGCTATATTAAATCAGAACCATCGATATTCTGTTACACGTTTTGAGTACAACAGCTATGGCAGGTTTCATCACCCAGAGCCTTGTTTAAATGTCAAAGTATTTTAATTTCTATACACAAATACACTTATGATATTGTATTTATATCAGTAGTTATCACATTTGTAGTTATTAGAACCTAGTGTGTAAGTTGTCACCAATGCAAAAGCTATTTACAATATGTCAATTTGGAATCCCCAGGATCCTGTACGCTAAGACATTAAAGTCTAGAAGCATGAGACACCTCAGTATTAACTTCAACATGTAGAAGACCACGTTATCATGGATAAATCAATATACTTTTTGTTTAATATGTCTTGTGAAGGGATAAAGCAGGGTGATAAATGACACGAAAAGATTAAAATATTGTCTGTTTGGCAAATAAATACTGATTATTGTTACAGTATTAATTTTTCTTTTGACATTCAACAATTGCATCATTCGAGGGTCATCCTAATTTTATATCCCTTTGTGTTCTAGCAGAAATATCCAAACTACAGTAAGACATTAACATCCACAGACATACTCTAGACATCGGTTGACTGAAATTGCCTCTTGAACATTTGGAAAATGTTAATACAAAATAAAATATTTCAGTAGTACATAATGTAGCAATAAAGCAATGAATGAGTTATTATGAGAAAGTAATATCACTATGAAAAAGAGATGAAACAACTTCATGCTACTGTACAAACACAGCTAAACAACTGCTTAATTTCGTTACTTAGATATTTTATTCTTTAACAGATCTCTTGCTTTATCCATTGTTCCAAACAAAACTTAATTCTTAACAAATATATCAGATACAATTATCCCCCCAAAAGTCACACTACTGTACCCGTTGCTTTGATTAGAAATGCACTGCATTTACTTACAACCTTCAAATGCTTCTCAAAATAAAAATTTACATGTATATTTTATATTAATAAACATATTCAAGATCACAAACATTTTAATCTACGAAAATAAAAGATTTATTTATATAGACAGGAGAAAAAAATTACATAATATTTATAGACTTCATATACTAACAGGTCATATGCTTATAAAAATACATAATAAATATGTAGCAGTAATATTGGCTTCACCTTCTTTGTACATGAATAATTGTCTTAATTCCAAGAGTTGCATGCATGAATATATGACCACAATGCTAACACTATAACCGTAACAATTGCTAGTCATACATGTAATGATATATACATATGTTTATACTTATTAAAATATTGTATATAATGCATAATAGGTCATTAGAGTAATAAGACTTCTGTGGTGTATTGCACTTTTGGTTAATGAAAGGCACATCATAAAATTACCTACCAATCCATATGCTTTTTTTGTTTTCATAATTTCATGATAACATTAAAAGTGCAACATGTCTGAGAATGGTAATATAGTGTAGCAATAGCTTAGATACACGGTCAAGAAGAATTAAAAGTCCTGTGTCACTAGAGGGAATCCAGATTGCCTGATGTGAGCTTTGATGCATACAAGTTGATCACCTGAAAACCCCAAAATATTATTAGAACAGCACCAGTGTTATGGTATGATAACTTAGTCAAAAGGAAACTTGGGTACATATGCTGTACCATGCCAACAAGTCTGAGTTACTGCACTTTTAATGGCCATTACCTTCACAATGGGAAATTAACTTAAAAAATAAAATCAAAACCCTAACTTTATACAGTACAGTACAGTACTTTGACTTCATACAAAATGAACCAAACTTTGCTTGACTATTTATAACGACACATTATACTATATACACTGCTGATATTAGAGTCTCTGACAACATGTTCATGTTAAAGGTAATACATTGTTTATTCAACAGCAGCACTTGTTCACTTACTCTATAGATGAAAGCATATTGTTCCTTAGTTTGCACAGCACCAGCTCGGTCTCTCCTGATGGAGTACACTGTCCTAGGAACATCAACACTGCGCTGGTCCTCAAACTGTTTCATAACAATGTCACATGCCAAAAGTGTACCCGTGCGACCAGTTCCAGGACTGAAAGATAAAACAAACAGTGAAATATTGTACTTAAGTAAAACCTATTTTGTCAAGTTTCCAGTTGCTCTTTTACACTATACTAATGGGCTATATCTTACAACTATAATAAACAAATAAAGGCAACACTTCACTTATGGCCGCAGCTGTGAAAATAAAGGAGTCCATGGGCTGCAAATCAGAGGTTAGGTCAGGTTTTTAAAGGTTTCTTTGGTGTTCTTTTAGTATTTTACCCCCACATTTGCCCTCAAATTCAAAGCATATGACAGTGTTGATACCAAACAAACCTACAAAAACCTTACCTAACCTCTGATTTTCACCAAGGACTCTTTATTTTTGCACCTGCGGCCATCAAGCGAAGTATTGTCAAAATAAGAAAGTAATCCCATGAAATAGTTCCATTTTCTTTTATCGCAACAAAGAAAATGGAGGTAAATAAACAGATTCATGAATGAATTTAAATGCCTGACTTTGAATGAGATTAAATACAGAATTAAATGACTTTGAATGAGTTTAAAGATGTCACCGTAGTATTAAAGAGAATAACAATAACAATAACAATAACAATAGTAATAGTAATAATTTAGGTCATTTGCGCGGGAAACGTTAGAGAAGAAAAGCGTCTTAGAATTGTCTGAACTAATGATTGGGAAGATAAAATTCTGTAGATTCGGGTAATAATAATAATAATAATAATAATAATAATAATAATAATAATAATAATAATAATAATATTACATATTTAGTATTAATAATGTTATCATTATTATTATTTAGAGAATATTTATCATGAGGTTAATTAAGGACAGAGTTATATAAAAATTAATCTAAAATATAGAAATTTTAATAACAAAAAGTTCACATAATGGAACTTTAGTCAATTTTTGCCAAATGTATTTTATGTTATAGATTATTAGCAAAATATTGATAAGAATAAATGGATTTCAGGATTATTAGGAACTTTAGTACAGTACTGTATTGGTTTGGTTAGGTTAGATTAGGGTTAATTAGGTTTGGTCACTAATTGGTCACAATAAAAAGTTAGATTTTGTTAGGTTAGGTTGGATTATACAAGTATTAGGCTAAGTTAAAATTTGGTCATAATAAAAGGTTAGATTTTTAGATAAGTTGTGTTAGGTTTAATTCCTCTTTTTCAAGTGATGTATTTCTGTTTCATTATATCACAATTTAGAAAAAGAAAAACACTGTTATCACGAACATGCACCCTTTAATAGCTAGACAACATATATAATTTATGTATATATGCCCTAATTATATTTGTAAAATAACAGTAGAGTACTAAATAGAGGCAGAATGTTAGCCTATTTGTATCGACTAATTTTACACACATGCACGAGTCTAAAAGTCAACACACTTCATCACAGAGACACAACACTCTTGAACTCTCATGTTTTATCCTCTTCACCAAGACTTAATTCTACTTTAACTCACCTGCAGTGTACAACTATTGGCCCCTTTGCTCTGAGCTTTTTCCGTGTCCTCCTTACGTCAAGGATATAAGATATAAATGCCGTCTCCTCATTCGGTACACCAGACGCCGGCCACCCGGTGAACCACATGTGGGCCACCTCACGAACTAGGTTATTTTCCAGATTCTTGAGTTGAACATTGGAAACCACATATTTTTCTCTCATATCTCGAGATTTGAGGGTCACCTGGAGATAAGGAACAGTGTGTAAATCAAAGATGAAATTCACTTTTGGTCCATGTATAAAATATCAGTTTGTTAGGGGGCATTTCAATTAGTTTGTTTTACAGTACATTACACAACATACAGTACTGTACACCATTATAAGTGTAAATAATATAAAAAAAAATATATAATATATTCCAATATTCACAGTGAAGAGTGATAATGATGTATTTCCTTTCCATTATAATATACTACTGTACTGTACTGTATAAGGAAACTTGCATAATTAATTTTGAACTGAACAATTGTACGTAAATGATAAAAATGACAAAACTCACTTGGAAATCACCATATAATCGATGGCAATCTAACGTCTCTGAAGGTGGGAGATAATCTGCACACTTGTCAATGCCTTTCTCCACAAAGTCTGTTAGCATCACTACTACCTTTGTCTCTTGCTCCCAGATCATTCTCCAAAAGTCTGCTACAGTGTCATCCAAAGGAGCCTGAAAAAAAGACAATGATAAATAGAACTAACACACACAAAAAAGAATATTATTCTAAGAGCTATTTAGAAATAAGTATAATAGGGGTTAAAAAAACACTTGAATAAAGTGCACTAACTGTCATTGTTGGGTTATACAATAAGCATAATGGTACCTTTCGTAAAGTGGATTGCCTAATATACAGACAACCTAATGCCCCATTAAAAAGATCGTCACCTACCGTACAGTATATATTAACCCCTTCACTACACGGATGCACGTTACCACCAACACCCCATACTGTATATTATTTCTCATTGCTCTACATGAAATTCTTACCTGTGTAGCGATATAGTACTTGGATTCATTCCTGGCACCACGCACGTAGTTAGCATTGATGTATTCTGAGTTTCGGGAATCTTTAAGTAACTTTAGGAGTACTCGAGTCTCTGGTACAGGGATCACATTAGCATACCTGTTGTGGAGGATAAAGAATTATATGTCTGTACAACGTGAGATACTTTACAGTGTTAAGAAATATTTACTTTTCTCAGAACTGATTTACCCATAAACTATATTAATTGTTGCCCGCCATAATCGCTGTTAACAGAACTGCGTCTCATCTTGGATTTGTTCAGCTTTCCATTGAAAATTTTTATGCAAAAGGTTGTTTCCATACAACTCATTAATATTAAATTCAAAATGAGGTAAAAATAGTACTGTATATAGGGTAGTAATAAAAAAACTCATTGTTTGGAAGACCTCAGACAATATTTTTTATAGTGTCACAAATTAGATGCTTAATGTCTTTGATGAAATTAACAAGTATCACTCATAAAAACTGATATATTGTACTGTACAGTACACAATGTACAGTACAGTAAATCTTCAGTTCCTTCATAAAACTGTTAGAGTCATTTAATTACTATACAGTATACTGTTATTAAAGGTGCTTCACATTACAGTAATATCTCCATTAGCTGGAATCCCTCAAACCCGGAATTCTCCGATAACCGGAATTAAAATTTTCCGAGGGGCACATTTTCCGGAAATTCCGAGAAAAAATTTCCGGTACCCGGAAAATTCTCATTCCCGGAAGTGCTCTGCACCAGTTGTTCCGGCTAACGGAGATATCACTATTTAATTTTTATCATTAAGACATAATCAAAGCAACCCTTTGTTGGGGTTTGGGACCAGGACTGCCAAGGTGAGGGTTCTAGGCAATTATAATCACTCCGCTACTGGTACCCAGAACGATAAGACTTGCATCCTGACATTCCTGGATTTGAAGCTTTATGAAGGGATGTTCTGGATAAATTTCTGTACACAATTATGTGTACATCATTATAATTTAAAAAGATATACAAAATCAGTATTTGAATAATGTGATATTTCTCAAGAATTCAATAACTTGCCTGTTTTTATCCTCAACACCTGATGGCAACTCATCATACTTGGGCATGTTGACAGGAATGGTTCCAAACTCCTCATATACACCATCAATGTCAGAGATGAAGTGAGTGAGCTTGGCAAAGTTCAAGGGACGTGTGGGCCCATTCTAGAAGAGGATGACCAGTTAAACAATTGTTAATAATTCCTAACAAATCATTCAGTCAAAATAATTTGGGATATAATTACTGTAGTATACAATACAGTGTATCATAAAAACCTAAATTATATTTTGTTAGCTAATATGAATTGTGTCTTTCTTTGCAATAATAAAAATCATTTCCTCTGGGGTTTAAATTTTCAAAATTTAAAAGAAGAAATAAGAGGTACAGTAGATGAAAAGCTTGATATATAGTATCTAGAAGTCAAGATAAACTTACAACTGGAACAATAAAACACTGATGACATACTGTCAACATAGCTAACTCACCGGGTCATCAAAGGCCTGGTTGAGGTAAGATTTGACAGATCTACCAGAAGCTCGTCTCTTGCTCTTACGCCTGAAAGAGTGGTAGACAGAGACACTGTCCATACTGTAAGCATCCATGCTGACCGGTGTGCAACGACGCCCATAATAGTTGTTTGTGGCACCTCGTCTCTTCACAACCATCTGAAAAAGTGTAGACATTGTTGAAGTAGAGAATCATAAATATTATCCTTTAAATTTTAGGCATCATTAAAAAGGATTTAAACTTTATAAGCAGGAAATTCGAGATATTTCTTATGCCTTCTAAATATTTCTGATGTCTTCTGTAGTCATGCAGAACCTTAATCAAAGGAAATTTTACCTCTTGTTTCATTAAGCTCTTCCCATTCTCTGTCAAACCAGGCATTATGATGAATTTTTATGACATGACATCAAGCAGAGATGCTTATTAAAAGAAAACAAATGGACCTAAATGATTAGATGCTGATTCCTCTGCAGACAGGCAAAAGTTAATCAACTCACAAAGAAAAGAAGAGCCACAATAATTGTAATTCCAACAATGCTGCAGATGACAATGATCACAATGACAGAGGTGCCAACTGCCGCCACCTCCTCCAGCAATGGGTCTGAGTTGGTGGAGCCATCAGCACGGACCAGCTCCAACTGTGACACCTAGAAATATGAAAAGTTCAAAATTTAAACATTTTTGTCAGGCAGTTCAAAAAACTATTTACTATTACTACCTGTATAAGGTATACAGTCTTGTCTTGATATGACATCTGTAGCTAAAGTAGAAGGAAGTACTAGGGTGGTACTTGAGGGGTACAGGGGTTGGTTTAGGTTAAGGTAGTATAGTGTAGTGTAGTGCAGTAGTACAATACTGTATTACTATACCTGTACAGTATACAGTACAGTACAGTGCTGTTCTAAACAATGATCATTCCCTCATATAACAGCCTCATTTTCTTCATTACACACAACTAAAACCTCACCTTGGTTTTCAAGTAGGTCAAATCTTCACTTATTTCAAGGTCCATTGGGAAAAGTGGGAATTGTTCTGTTAATTCAGGATCAATTTTGCCAGAACTGGTGACGTAGAAATAAACGTTTGTCTTTTCGTTATCCAATAGAAGGTTCATTTTATCATCAGACTCAAGCTCTGAGTGACTAAGGTCTTCAGGTAGATGATTAATATGGTCTTCAGTAGATGGTTTGGTCGTGACACAGTCTGGCATATTGAAGAACTCAATGTCTCGAGGTTCCACGTACCTGTAGATGTATGATGTAATGTAGAAAAATTAAACATAATAATCAAAGAAAATATTATTTACAAATCAATTAGGAACAATGATATACTATATTGTACTTTCAATTGCCATTTTCTATCTCTTTCAACAGTAACAAATACTGTACAGTACTGTACATCTGATCAATACCTCTTTTAGTCCTTATTGTAATATAATAAATTATTATCTTCAAGCCTCAATATAAATAACCAATAAAAAAATACTAACGTTTTTCCTTCCAAATGCTGACTGATCCACTGTGCAAGCATGGTACGGAAATTTTGCTTGTGGTGACAGAACTCTCCATTACTGTAAGCTACAAGAGCCCTGATGTAGGGCAGAGGAAGCTCTATCATTGTGCCATTTGGAAGCATCACAGTAGTGGTGAGGGATGGTATGGTCTCTGTTGGGAAGAAGTGATTGTTTTCTTTTAATAAGGAGAATATATATTGCCACCAATCCTAAAGAGTTTTCCGAAGGAGTTAAAGATACACTTGTCTCTTCCTCTCTGCCTTAAAATGGTATTTTACATTTTTGTCCTATGTTTTCTTAAAAATTTGCAAGCATTAGAATTTCACTGGAATTAGTTTTGTCTGAGTTTCCGTCACAAGTTTACATATACTGTATTCAAATGCCGAGTAGTGTACTATGCATTCTCATAAATAATCTATACTGTAATATTAAAGAAGCTACTGAATTAATATTAATTTTTAAAAACTTTTATTTAATGAAGACAAAATCAATGCTTGGACTACTCCCCAGCTGGTAATAACACTATACATTTCTAAAAGAATTACTGTACAAAGAAAAACATTAACTGATTTAAACCCGACGTTTCTTTTAAAATATATTCAGAGAAAAATTAAATACAGTAACGAGACAGTCCCTGCCATGAAGAATGAGAGTAAAATGATTAGCTCAGTTCTGTACAGACCATAAAAGTTTACATCAAAATTACTTCTCAGTAGATGGGGAAAGCTGACACTCAAATACAGGTCCAGTACTGTACAGGTATAAGCAATGGCAAAACAAAGCAAAAAGCAAGAATATGGGGATGTTGCATTTGCTTAAAGAATACATCTGGCAAGTATGGCACGATTAAGATAGCATCATTAAGTGAGGCAGTTGAATTTATTATACCTGTATAGGCCTTGTAAACAATCATCAGGGCATGTAAAAATGTTCATAAGGAATAGCAGTTTTTTTGCATACTTTACATGGATTAAGTCAATATACAAGATAAAAATACAAACACATACGGTAGTACTGTAAACTATCAGTTAGATTAGTTAACATAAACTTCTTAATTGATCAAGTGTGGAGATGAGGCAGAAAGATTTCTTGAGTCCTGACAGCAATAGTCCATATATTCTGAGTCACAGAAGAGACTCATGAAATAGTGAGACCAAGGAAATCTTACAACTCAGTATATACACAGAGCCTACCAGTTGGGACCATGAAGGTGGGCACTTCACTTGAGGGTGTTGTGGGAACTGGTGAAGTGGAGGTTGTTGGTGGTACTGTGACTTTGGTTGTACTTGTCTTTGTTGTTGTGGATGTGGTCGGTGTTGTTACTGATATAGGTGTGGGGACCTTGGGTGTTGAAGATGGGATCTCTGCCACTGTTGACACTTCTTCAGGGAAGAGAAAAAAGTTTGATATTTCTTACAAGCCAAGTGATTACCTGTACAAAAAATGGATCACTAGATGAATTTTATTACAGGTAGTATTTTACATACAGTAATTTGCTTTTGAGTAGTTAAAATCCTCTGTTTAAAGTGTCTTTTGTATATGTACAGTAATACACATACAGTATTTTAATACTGAGCTGAATTTCCAATGCAGAAACTACTACCAAAACATTCTCACCTTCTTCAGGAAGTTCTTCGTGTGTACCTTCTTCAGTGCCCTCGGTAGGTACTTCGGGAGTTGTGATCTGTGTAGGACTCGTGGTGGGGACATCTGTGGCTGTCGGAGCAACCAAGGTTGGTGAGTCCAAAGCAGGACCAGTAGAGGACGTGGGGAGGGTGGCTATTGATGCTGAGGACATGGGGATATCTGGAGTGACTGAGGAATCTGAGAAGTCTGGTGGGATGGAGGAAAGTGAAGGAACTGAAGATATGTTTTCAGTATTTGTTGATGAAGGAGTAGCCAAAATAGATGAATCAGAAGAGCTGGGGAATATTTCTGGAATGTACTCAGTTGGGGAAGAAGGTAGTTTTTCTGTCACTATAATGGTGGGTTCAGGGCTCTTCTCTGTTAGTGTGGACTCGACCTCAGACACAGCAGTGACAGTTATAGAAGGGGTTGGTACAGGTTCAGTAAACATTGGAACCAAAGATATGGAAGTAAATTCATCCTTTATTGGTGTGTGAACTGTTGTGGGGAATAAAATGGGGGAATATTCAGTTTCTTCCTTTATAATTATACTAGATGATAAATGCTCTTCTACTGAAGACTGATCAAAGTGTGACTCAAGGTCAGTTCCCAACACAGGGGTTGCTGCAGAAAAATCTGTGACAGAAGGTGAGTGTGCAAACTTAGTGCTGGAACCATCAAACGGTGCAGGGAGTGTAGCAGTGCTCTCAACTATTGCAGGGGTAGAAGTTGGAGAAAGATTGGTACTAATATCAGGCAATACCTCAGTATGAGGCAAAATGCTAGACTCATCAGTTTCACTCTTAATTGGGGTAAATCCACCTGTCATTTCTGGGGGCAGTGAAGAGATTTGGGAAGTGGTAGGCACCACAGAAGAGGGAGAGGTCACTGACACAATTTGAACTGTGGTTTCTGTTAGATCCATAACAGGAGTCCAGGTGGCACTATCATGTGGTGTTACCCTATCACTGTCTGTTGAAGTGACCACAGGTGAAATTTCTCTTTGACTGGAGGGTGGATCTGTAGGGTCTTCTTCAGGTAAAGTAATTACAATTGGCTCATCTGAGATCCCTTGGTCTCTTTCTGTTGTGGTCCCCAGTACATCCCCCTCTGGTAAATGGGACAAAGAGGACCTATTTGATGTAGAATCTGTGGGCTCTCCCATGCTCTCAGTTGTTTCGAGAACAACTGGGATATTATTTTCAGATAAATCTGTGTCTAATTGTGTAACATCACTTGAGGGGTCATCTATTGAATTGACACCTGGGGTTAATTCTGAACTCTTATTATTGGAGGGTTCCAAAGTGGAGGATTCTGTAATGTCTTGTGTGGGGTCGGCATCCTCAGATACATTATTACTGGGGGTGGTAACTGTAGCTTCTGTTGGTATAGGAGTGGTAATAACATCATTTGGACTATCATTCTGTGTGGATTTGCTATTATCTACAGGAGATGTTGTAGACTGTGCAGTAGTCTCCAGTAGTTCATCGATGCTAACTGTAGAGGAGGAAAGGGCAGGGGTCTGAGAGACATCTGAGTCAAGGGGATCAGTTTCTTCTTTGGGAGATGAGGAAGTAGCCAAAGCAGTTATGGTATTGGTATCTGGAAAACTAGTAGCAGAAGAGGTTGGCTGAGAGCGTAATAGCTGTGTATTTACAGTTCGAGAAGGCGTTGATTGCGATAAAAGCATCCACAAAGGAGTTCTAGAGGAGTTTGCAGCCTGCGAAGTACGTATAAAAGTTGGCTTTACACTACCCAAGGCACTTGTGCTTGTAGTTGTCATCAGGTCACTCTCACTAGCAGGGTTGGGTTGAACAGGGGCAGAAGTGGTGTCTGAAGGGAGAGAATTTGGTTCGCCTGTACCTGGCAATGCTGCAACACTGACATCAAGAGGGACTTCACCAGCTGTTGTAGATTCAAAATAATCAGGGTCATCTCCAAGAGTATCTGGACGAGTCTGTGGAGGTCTTGGTCCTGTGGTTTCTGTGCCATGATCTTGGGTATCTTTGGCAACTAATGTTACATTGACATTATCTATTTCATCATCTAAGGTATTGTCGACAACTTCTCTCTCCGCAGGCTCATCAAGTATAGCAGAGGCTGACGGGAAAGCCAGTGATGAAAGTGGTGTAGCAGCGAAAGTTGTTCTTGAAGAGAGGCTATCCGTAGTCTCTACTAGTACTGATGGGCCCAAACCAGATAGAGAGGGAGTGACAGTAAATGGCCTTACTGCCTCCATGAGGACACTTGATTGTAATTCTGAAATACTCGAGGACAGCTCAATAACAGGTTGCCTCAAGTCAGGTGCAATAGAGGGTGATGCTGAAACAGGCACACTTAGATCTTCTTCATGAAAGAGAGGACCTGGAACAGGAGTTGGGACAACCGAGGGCAGGTCAAAGAAGTACTGTGTTACAGGTACTTTGCTCACGGTGAAAGTTGGGTCAATAGAAGGCACTGGTGTAGAGGCAGGAACAATGGCAGATGAAGGAACTGAAGATGGAACAAAAGCAGTTGAGGGAGATACAGTTGGGAATCTTATTGTTGGCCTTCGTGTTGGTCTACCATTGTTGTCTAGGAGGTGAGAGGGCCAGTTAGGTAACCAATCTTCTTGATCTGTATCGCTGAGAACACGAACCAATGACGATGGTCGAGTAAATGTCACTGATGGCTCAGGAACAGCTGTTGTGAGGGATGGTCCGCCCGAGTATATGATGCGTCGTGTCAACTGAGGTACAGTCAAAGTAGTTCCCTCCAAGTCTCCATCATCTAATCCTGCTGTAAAGCCAGTGGGATAGTCGTAATACTCCATTGCTCCTGTTCTTCTACTAATTTCATCCTCAGACAGCCCTTCAGACTCTGTTGTTACTGCCACCTCATCCATCAAGTCATAGTCGAAGTCAGGAAGAGTAGTTTCCTCCACCGGTTCATCAATGGCTGTTGCTAGCTGAGGATCGTCAGCTGAGGAGGCTCCCTGGGAATTATAGTCAGCAGCATCTCCAGGGTTGACAGCAACATCAGCAGCATCCTTAGCAATATCGGCATCCACATGATCAGTCGCAGTGGCTAATGAAGTGATCCCTACAGCTCCAGCAACCGCAGAATCACCAGTTGTGTCCAGGTCGTCGACGAGGAAAGAGTCTGCGCTGCCAACACTCAGTTGACCTCTCACACCTGCAAAATATGATACAATTAATACATGTACGAGGATATTTACTCCCAAGCTCTTCTTCCATAACTCAAGAGTGAACAAAATAAAAGAGTAACTGCCCCACCCACACTCACTCAATTCAATCATTGTCACTTATTCATTCTTACTGGTTTAATGTTCATATTCTGTTAGTAATGATATATTTACCCTAAACAAATAAAAAAAAGTAATTCTTATAATATAGACAACCTCAGAGTTACCTAAGTGTGTACAGTACAACCTGTTCTCACTGATACACACGAAATAAATCATATGTGACAATTATTACATTAATGATCATACAACAATGCTAAACATTATATAAAACTACATATAGAAGAGAAGATGATAGAACGTCAGTAATGGGGATGAGTTGTACACGTGCGTTAAGACTATATTCTCAAGTGTTACGCGCCAGTTGAGGAAAGTATCTCGGGCAGTACCAGATCAGGTTGTGTCATGTAGGGAGAGCTAGGAGGGCTACTCTGATGACTCGCCAGGTACAGTGAAGGTATTGACCTCTAGTACTGTACCCCAAGCGTCACCTACACCCAAGGTTAGTGTTGGCGTTCACCTACACCCAAGGTTAGTGTTGGCGTCACCTACACCCAAGGTTAGTGTTGGCGTCACCTACACCCAAGGTTAGTGTTGGCGTTCACCTACACCCAAGGTTAGTGTTGGCGTCACCTACACCCAAGGTTAGTGTTGGCGTCACCTACACCCAAGGTTAGTGTTGGCGTCACCTACACCCAAGGTTAGTGTTGGCGTCACCTACACCCAAGGTTAGTGTTGGCGTCACCTACACCCAAGGTTAGTGTTGGCGTCACCTACACCTAGTGACCGTGAATATGAAAACTAACAGGTTATTAATAGGAACGAAGGTTCTTCCAGTGACTGCCCCTCCCTCCTAACAGGTGCTAACCGATTGCAACTACAGTAGTTTAATATGATTGTCCCCATATATTTTTTTACGTTCTTTTTGTGTACTTTTAACCTTCTGTAGAGAGAGAGAGAGAGAGAGAGAGAGAGAGAGAGAGAGAGACGCCAGCAAGTTCAAGTGAAATAGATGGTAAGACAGGGAAGCACCTCTAGATGATCAGGGAGGGGGGGTTACGGGGGGTCATTTCCTGGGGGGTAGGGAGTAGAGGAGGGGAGGGAGCACAGGTGTTGATGACGCACTGAGGGGTGGGTGACCTACCTCCTCGCCTGACTAATTTATACCACGACGACACGCTAGGGAGGAGTGTCCTTATAAAGTGTGTGTCTGCGTATCAACAAAGATCATTAAGCGTGTATTCTAGTTTAGTAAATACATTAGACATCGACATAAAGATACGTTGTTATCTATTATTTCAGGATCATTTACTTGAGATATCGTCATCCACTCCTCCTCCTCCCTCTAGCCTTTACAGGGGTGTTTTATGAAGGCAAATGAATCAATACAGAGATAAATACCAAAGATAAAAATGAATTTATTGTGATTAAAAGGAGATATAAGCAGAGTTCTAGCATGTAAAAAAAAAATACGACTATCAGTATTTTCCTCAATACATCTATACCAATTTAAAGTCAAGACCATTACATGAACCGTAATTAAGGCTCAGATTTATAAAGCAATATATTAATTTGACAACCATTTGCTGCTAGAGCCATTCACCAATACAGAGAATTTCTATATTAATCAAAAGTGAAAGGCCAGGCACACTGTAACCTCAGCATTACCAATATATTCAGCTAATATAGACCGTATTATATTAATGGAATTTAATGCTTAACATAAATTAATATAACAAAGTGAATAACTAATTATTGTCTGAGTTATTCTTCTACACAAATGATTATTCATGTTTGTGAAAAGTTAAGGGATAAAGGGCCTAATCTAAAATACATATACTGGGCATAATTAAATGATTACAGCGTACAGTATATATGAATGACATTTATGGCTCTTTATAACTTCACAATATATCATAATTCAAAACTAAACCTTACCCGAATTGTTCGTTTGGACAGAGAATTATTTACGTTAGTTAAAAGTGAAAGGTGTGGGGGGTGAGTAATGACTGTCAACATTGCACTGGTTGGTGTGGTGTTAGTGACGTCACTCATTTATCACTTTCCCCTCAAGAGAAGTTATCTATTATCATTTATTAGCGGTGATAACCTAACGTGGTGTGAAGAAAATCAATCAGTAATAGGTTAAAAAGACTTTCTCTCGTGATGTTACAACAAAGGTGATATAATTAGAAGTAGAAAGCGTGTTACTGTACGAGTTGACGTACGTGTGTGTGTGTGTGTGAACAAACTCTTTAAGTATGTAATCAAATAATCCAAATAATTGGTTCTGTGTTACATGCACATAAACTGATCCTATGTACAGCATGTCATAAATAAAAAAAAAATCCTTTAATTTATTATAGTGAACAGATGTACATAACACCCACATTAATGCTCTCTAGAATGGGAAAGGCGGTATTTTACACATTCAGAAAAGGATTTTTTTTTATAAATTAATGATTAAACAAACGACACAACAAACTACTCACCATGAGCCAAGATAATGAAGAGGCAGAGCCATCTAGTGACTGGCGGCGGCATCTTCATTCTGTGGGGATAAACATATCAACCATCAGTTCTGTTGACCATGTGTGTGTATTGACTTAAAACAATATTCTCCTTCAGTTCATAGTTTGAAAATCCAACTGAGAATATTAGGAAAGAATATGTTACAAAAGAAGGTCTAGTTGTGTAAAGCGACCGGGAGTACTATGCTAACACTCCTCATTTATCACAGCAGGAAAATGAATGACGACAGCGAATGAAGGGCGTGTGTGTGTGCTAATAGGGTCACCCTCCACTATATCAGTACATTATATCGTGTAAAGACTTAAGAGAGAAGTAAATGATTTGTATGGGCTCCAGTCAACTGCGTGTGTACTGTATGTGTATAAAGAATCCGTTTATAGTGTGACTTATACTAACAATGTAAACTTGAACTTAAATCTTGGCACGTGCTTAAGTTACAGTACAACTCGTGTAGGAAGGAAATTGTGTTTAATATTTGGAATCTGAAAATCTCTACCAATTGTCAGAAAACTGGAAACGTCATGGGTAAATATGCAACAATTTTCATGGGAATACGTAATAATTTCTCTAGAGTGCAGCTGCTCAAGGTCACCGAAGGACATCCCTGGTGGGTCGAACAAGCAATAAGGACAGCCTGGTGAAAATACCCCAAGCTGTGAGTGTAGAAACGAACCCCACGAAGCTAACTGGCAAATCAAGGTCAAAAAAATTAATGTCACCAGCGTCCCCACGTGCGAAGGTGTACAGTTTAACAGACACACACACACACACACACACACACACACACACACACACACACACGTCTGAACTTGAGTATAAATGCTAGTGATTTTATGATGTAAGTTATTCAATGTATAGTGTACAAGACCCGCGACAGCTAGTTATGCAAAACCACGTATATGCAAGTTGTTGTGGTATATGAAGTCAACAGAGATATGTGTGTGTGTGGCCTTGTGCTAAGGTGATGACAGAGATCCAGGGAATGAAATTGATCTTTATTCTTTATTTTCATCTCGTTAACAATGATTAGTTATTGGTCACTTATTTGTGATTTCATCCCCAGAATCACCACCATAACAACCACCACCATCATCATCATCATCATCATCATCATCATCATCATCATCATCATCATCACTACCCTCACCACTGCTACCACCACCACCACCACCAACCACTACTGCCACCAACACTACAACAACCAGCATCACCACCACTAACACCCCCACTACAACCAATACCACCACCACCATCACCACCAGCATCACCACCACCACCACCACTACTGTACATCACACAACCTAAATATGAGTTATGAACAAAGTGGTGACCCAGTACCACCCCTCCCCGTGACTGTGTCCAGGTGGGCCGTCCCGCTAATGAGGAAATGTGCACTCGTGAACTCCCACCACACACGCACCACAAACAATATATCATGCTATCTATAAACCCCTGACATGACCCCTTGAAAATACAACAATTTCAAAGCTATCGTCAATTCAGAGATATCGTAAACTCCCACAGCTACACACACACACCACAATCCCACCAGAGCTCTTGCCTTAGATAAAACGACAACATTCCCACCAAATTTCCACCATAATTCATTTCCTAACATTCTCACGCTTAGAAACTGAACACGGGCATCCGGAGTACCATATAGATTCGATTCTCGTCACAGAAGTCTCATGATTTGACGCTGAGACTAAAAACGAGTACAATTTTTAATAGGGGTTTCATAGTGTTGAGGAAGCTGCGTGTATTAGTTGAGATCCGCGAGAAGGATAATCACATCACACGGTGGATGGTATCGGTCAGCAACTTGTCAACAACGTCTTCTCGGGGAGATTGACACACGAGTAGGGTTGGTGTGTGGTGGAGAGGGGGAGAGAGAGAGTGAGGGGGGGTGAAATACATGCACCGACACTATCTGTCCCTCCCCCCCCCCCCCCACCCCCCCACGTCCTCCCTACTAGTAGCCGCTTTAGTCTCTGCACCGTAACCCCAGCCACACCACAAACCCCAGCCACACCACAAACCCCAACCACACCATGTACATCACTGCCTCTTGTCACCTCTACAACACCACATAACACACCAGCGATTTTGACCAGTTACATCACATCAACACCATTGCCACCACATCATCACACCATTACCAGAGATAAACCATCACTGACACTACTAACAGCTCATCACCAGTAACATAACATCATTACTTCCACATCATCTCACTACATCACTAAGCTCACCATCACACACACACACACACACACACACACACACACAGTAAGTGACCCTGTAAGACTGTGACCTTGACCCCGGGTTATTTCTTTGTGTTTGAGACAAGTGAAACAGCTGATTACATGTCTCAATCGTACACCTTTCTCACGGATGGGATGATGAGAGAAGGAGGTGAGAGATGAGACGATAGATGGATGAGTGTGTAGGTGGGGGAGGGATGGTTGAGTGGGTGATGGTGTTGTGTGGTGGGAGAAGTGGTGGGAGCAAGGATGTGTTGACACACTTGTAGGAGGTGAAGCAAGACAGGAAGTGACACCCCATCACACATACACACACACACACACACACACACACACACACACACACACACACACACTCCTCAAACTACGACACCACTACCATCATGTCACCTTCCTGCCACGTCACAATCCAACGTCAATAATAGCTATTTATTATACACATTATAGGTGTGTGTGTGTGTGTGTGTGTGTGTGTGTGTGTGTGTGTGTGTGTGTGTGTGTTGACCACGAGCCCACGTCAGTAGCATGTGGTGGAAGCATCAGATGTTATCATTATCGAGTCTCTCTCTCTCTCTCTCAGCCTGTGGGCGTCTCTCTCTCTCTCTCTCTCTCTCTCTCTCTCTCTCAGCACAGAAACAGATAAAAAAGCAAAAGAAATGGAAGAGAAATAGTGTAGAGATATAAGTCTAGCCATACAAAGAGAAAGGGACTTAAAATGAGATAAAGAAGAGTGAAAGATAGATAATTAAAAAGAGGGAGAAAGAGAAAGAACAAAAGGTAAAGGAGATAAAGGAAGAAATAGACACAAAAAAGAGAGAAAGTTGGAGACAGGAAGAGATAAAGAGACAGTAAAATATACAATAAAGAATATAATGAGAGACATAATGATAAAAGGGGAGTTAATAGAGAGACATGAAGGAGTTACACACACACACACACACACACACACACACACACACACACACACACACACCTGGTCATATAATTTCGTTTTCTAATGTTTATGGTCTAATGAGATGCATAAATACAGGTGTACGCAAGTGGTTGTAGTAGGATGATGGTGATGATGGTGGTAATAGTGATGATGGTGATAGTTGAAGATGAATGATGATGATTATAATGAAAAAGAACAATAGGGAAATGTGGTTGAGAAAGGATATGAGAGAGACGGGGATAACACGAAGGAAGAGGATGAGGAAGAGGAGAAGATGATGATTATGTAGTGATTAGGACAAATGACTTTTGTTCTTTATTTGGTCATTCTATTATCGTCCTTGTTGTTGTTGTTGTTGTTGTCGCTAATGTCGTTGTTTTGAATCTATAGTGAAGATTAAAGATTCACGAATACAAATAATACAGCAAACTGCGTGTGTGGGGGGGGGGGGCGGGGAATAATAACCCAGGTAAGGGGATAAAGATAATCACCTGGCAGGTAGTGGACGTGGTCAGGCTAGCATCTGGGAGGGTGTTCACGTTATCATTGGACAAAACTGTATCACTCTGAAACAAAGAGAAACTCACTTTAGTAACAAATAATGCGAGATGATAATAACAGTAAATAAATACACTTCGATATTATTAAAATTAATCTTTTTATATTATTTGAAACATGGAAACAGTGTGATGGCCATAACATAACTTTAATATATATAGAAGTAGCTTATTTTAGCTGTTTTACTTATCATTCTTAGTGTAGTTCGTTATTTAATTTTTGGACAAACTTTGTTAGTTCAACCATAAGCTTAGTTTTACTACTATGGTAGAGGCTGGCCAGGAAGGTGTTGCTCCTCTGACTCTTAGTATTCAACTGCTGGTAGGAGGCTAGTCTATCCAAGGGCTGCTCCACCACCAACCATGTACACCTGCTAGTGTAGTCATTTACTGTAGTGTGTGTGTGTGTGTGTGTGTGTGTGTGTGTGTGTGTGTGTGTGTGTGTGGTCACGGTGCAAGAAGAAATCCCAGTCCCCCAAACTTGTACTTCTGTTTCAAGGTAATGACAGTGAAAACAGACACTCCTTAGTAGGTATAGGGAAGGAGGCGCGTGGAGGCTGAGGGTTGGTTGTTGGTGGTGAAGTAGTGGGTGAAATTATGGTTGATTTCTAGTGGATGGGTGGAGTATGAATGGAAGATTATTGGTGAGAAGTGGGTGGGTAGGTGGAGGGTGGTGGCTCTCTGGATTAGAGGTGTGGGTGGAGGTGTATGATGTGTTGGGCGGGGTGCAGGGGAGAGGAATCGTACCAACACCAGGCCAGCTGAAGCCTCGCCACCTGCATCTCATACCTCACCTCACTTGTTGACACTTACTCCCTGCACCAACCCTCAACAGCCTCCAATTCCTCCAATAACTACTCCTTCCACACACTTCAAGTTCTTATACATAGCCTCCAAAGAAATCCCCAGCCTACGAGCTCACCATATTCTCCAAATTCCTCACGGCCCATCACAACCTCTGCTCTCAGACGGAAGTGCTGGGAGTTCTCGAAACACCACCTCGAGGGCGCTAAGCAACCATTATATCTCACGAACAAACAAAACATACGAACTAACGGATGGGCTGTAGAAACACGAGGAACCAACACAGTAACAGTGAACGTACAAGCACATACACACACATATGCAGCTAATGAATCACACCTTCACAAGTCTAATGCATTAATACAAGTTTCTCATGTTCCGGGAGATTGTTTTGTGGTGACATCAAAAACACATAGCAAATAAATCACGCGTCTAATGCAATAACAGCTTTTTCTCTCGGTTCCAAAAGAAGATTGTCTTGTAGTGACCAAATTTCTCCTCACAGTTTCTTTACCTAAGTGAGACCTGGTCATATAAAAGTGATATTTTACACCAACAAAGGGAAACATTAAGATGGGAGAGACGAGGTTGAGAGAGAGGAGGCAGTAGAGCATATAAAGAAGATTAACCTCTTGGAGACCTTAATGTGAGTCCTCGTCCTCGTAAGGTTAATTAATTGTCCTCAAAGAGTTAAGACATCATCCTCAAAATGTTAAATCATTGTACACAAAGGGTTATATCATAATATTCAAGGTTTAAATCGTCGTCGTTAAGGGGCTAAAGAAAGTCTTAGCATAGAGATGTGGACGATGGTGAAAACTGCCAATCAGTCCAGCCACCCGAGCAGAGGGTGACCGCGGGGGAGCGTAGACAGAACGGAGACCGATGACGACCGTCTAGTAAAGTGCGACGCTGCCGTTTGATTGCAGCATAACAGCAGCTGTCACCATCTACGACAAGTGGGATATGACAGCTTGCAGCACTCGTGACTTTCACTCAATTTCTTGGCCAGACGTGATGCCTTGGACGTTGTCAAGAGGGAGGTGAGGCAGTGAGAGAAGATGGAGGAGCGGAAGTTGAAGGAGGTTTAGATGGAGATAGAAAGACGGAGGAGAGGGAGAGATATTGGAAAAGAAGGAAGGGTAAGACGATAGAGGAATGGAAGGGAGGAAGTTGGAGGAAGAAAAGAGAGAGATTAGGAGGGAGAAGGAGGAGGGAGATTGGAGAAAGTTGGAGGAGACAGGGAAAGAAGTAGAATGATGGAGGAGATTGGAGACGGTAGACAACAACATGGTTATATACAGCCACGATACTGAGGCGCAGTCCAAGACCTAGGTGAGGGTGTGGTAGGAAAGTGATGGGGAGGAGGGAGGTTCGGGCTCAGCGTCACACCACTACCGTCACACCACCACCGTCACACCACCACCGTCACCACCACCGTCGTCACACCACCACCGTCACACCACCACCGTCACCACCACACCGTCACACCACCACCGTCACCCACCACCGTCACACCTTCACCACCACACCGTCACATTGGCCAATCATGTTTTTTTTATAGCCAGTACCGTACCGATGCATCACCTACACATTGATTTTGTTGTGGGAAATTAAGATAATTCTAGTACAGAATCCATTCCCGATTCACAGTACTAAGTAACAGTGCAACATCATAGGACCAACACATCAGAAGGCCAGTACTGATAGACTAGCAGAAGTACCAAACACAGTATTAACACAGCGCCAGAGTACTAACACAATACCAACGAACACACACATCCGCCACCCAGCACCGACATTTGACACAATCTGGGAGACATCGAGGCATCACATATCCTTTACGTCATTTGTCACACGATATCTTCTCAACGTATTGGACGGCTCTGTTCATACCCGTTTCTGACACATTGTTATCTCTGACGTGTCCCAAATACAAACGACCAACTCAGACATGTTACACGTTGATAAACAAGTCACTTCTGATACATTCCAAGTACATAGAGTCAGTTTTGACATAATCCAAGTAGCCTTTGCATGTTGTCTTTATTCGTCAGGTATGCCACCCACGGTAACCATGCTGAGGTGGGTGGCATGCTGGGGTGGGTGGCATGCTGGGGTCGGCGGCATGCAGGAGGCTGGCGGCATGCAGGAGGCGGGCGGCATGCAGGAGCTGACCGCAGGCCGCCCGTGAGTCAATCCCGTTGACCAGTGTTGTGTTAACGGTCCCGCCTGCGACCACCTCCACATACAGCTCCCGCACTCGCCGCCACCACCATACACCAGCCGCCGCCGCCACCAAACAACACCAACAGGAAACAACAGAATAACAACACAACAGACTATCAGAGTAACAGCAGACAACGGAAACGATAACACAACAGACATATAACAGGGGTAATAAAGTACAGTATATTGCGTCAGGGTGTAATAACGGTGTCCAGGAAACGTCCATTATTAACCAAACTAAAAGACTTTCATACAAACGATTTTCTTGACATGATACTAAAACCAACAGAGGACAACAAAAACGTGAACAAATAATAACAGAAAATGTTAGAAAAACAAGAGACCAGAAACACTAATACGAGAACAGCAACAGACAGTAAGAGTGAACACCAAGAGCAGTAACACAGCAACAGATAACAGCAGCAACAGTTATCAATACAACGATCGTACTATTGAGGTCACTAACACAAACAGCTGAGGTCACTAACACAAACAGCTGAGCCAATCAGAATAGTAATCTGATAAAGGGATACGTAAGTAATATATTTACATTCGCAAAAATCGAAAATTCTCGTTAATAATATAAGTAATAAAATTAATAAAAGTAATAAAAATAATAATAATAATAATAATAATAATAATAATAATAATAATAATAATAATAATAATAATAACACAGTAAGTACATTAAGACCAACAGCAGCAACAGAAACAGCCCAAACAGGGTAGAGAAAGTCCCCCACCAAGGGCTAGCACAGTAGGTCGGGTATCCTTGAGGCTGAGTGAAGGATCCGAATTCTTAAGGAGTTCGTTCGTCAATAAATCCATCGTCGGTACAAACAAAATAACATCTCTGGCATCACTCGAGTCTCTAGTCTTCTTGTAACGTATTATTTAACGCTGCCTTTATGTACATGCAGTTTTAAGGAGTTAGTTGGGTATATTTCTGAAATATTCATCTTTACGAGACACTGAGCCTCTCCCCACTCCCCCTCCAAGCACTCGGCCTCATCCTTGCTCGGCCTGACCTAGAAACATGTTATCACCTCTGTCGTCTGTATTTGTCTTACTTATAAACTTACAGAAGAAAAATAATGTATATTACCCACGCTCACACCACCTAGTACCAATAGTTTGGATTCTCACCTTTTAGCAATTTAATACATTTTAAAGATGTCGACCAGATACGAGTCGAAATTATATCACAGGTGGCGAAGTTATTTTCTTATTCTCTTTTAAGGAGGAAAAATTACCGCAGGATAGCACTGGTATGTGATAGCATGTTGGCTTGCTGGATATAGAACGTGTGTAAGTAAAACCACAACACCAATTAGTACTTATACGACATTCCTTCTGTCTCAACACCTTGTGAATAAATTACTAAGATGAGTCAAAATATCTCTCTCTCTCTCTCTCTCTCTCTCTCTCTCTCTCTCTCTCTCTCTCTCTCTCTCTCTCTCTCTCTCTCTCACACACACACACACACACACACACACACACACACACACACACACACACACACAGTCTTGAATCCCCTTAGAACTTCTCCCTCTCTTAAATTATTTGACAATTAAATGGAGTCCAATCCTAATAAGCCCTTTACTAAATCTTACCATAAGGATTGACTTTCATTAAGATTAAGGGCCCATTAAGGACTATTAAGACTGGGGCCCATTAGACCAGCCACCCTTAAAGCCTCCTCTTGCCTCCCTGTATGCACCCCCCCCTCCCTTTCACCAGGTGCACCAGGCCGGACACGCGTGATCCAACTCCCTCAGGAATTATAAATAAGTTTGAATATTTACACATTTGTATTCCATATCACCGCCTTTAACACCCATCTCATTCTATTTGTTTATATGTATGTCTGTGTGTGTGTCCTTGTTGTGACGCTATGCCAGCTCAATACACCGATCTAGAGGTCTTCTGTAACTCGTGCCGACGGATTAAATCTTGCTTCAGATTAGTCAGCCGCC